TTACTATTTTTAATTATTAATTTTTGATCAAATAAATGTCATTTGGTAAGCAAACTTCTTTCAGAAACAGAAGAGAAAAAAAAACACATACCAACCAACCCCAAAATGTTGAACAGTACTGTGCCTATGGCAATCAAGGCAATACAAATACATTTAAGACATTGTACCTGGTATGGAGAGTGGTTGTAGAGAGGTGGGTTGTACTGGAGCTCTCTGCAGGTGGTGTCCTCATCCGAGGAAGATCCAGAGTGGTAATCCGACGTTACCCTCTCCACAGCGCTCGTCACTTTCTTTGTCACATCCTCTTTATCATCATCGTCATCACTTGAGAAGGTGGCCACAGTGAAACCATGATTCCTCTCGCCATACCTGCAGCCATTTCAGAAGTAAAGATTTCTATCATATTTGAGCAACATACAGTACAGTTTAGGGCTGTATTCAACCAAAGAAAATCTTGGTCGACTGAAGTCCTGACATTTTCTACTAAAAATCGACTAAAATCGACGTTAGAAAAAAAAACGTTAAATTAATTAGCTGCGCACAGTGCGCAGTACTTGGTAGCCTTGCTGTCCGCCTAAATGAATTATAAAAAAACTAGTAGGCTATTTGCAGTATATTAAATCGTTTTTGACCGAATTATTTTGCACTGAAATGAGTCTGACACACGAGTCTGTCAGCTCTGACAGCGTTGCATCACGTGCACCTTTGCAATATCATAGCCTATGATTTCCGAAGATAGTACTATGTTGTCAACTAGTAATATCATCACACGAACTGTTGAGGAATATGCAACATAATTTAGACAATTATTTTTGTCATATGTTATAACTGTCAGACACTATCATTTCAGCCGCTCTGTGCATGTCCTCGCACAGGCTGAACATAGAGATCAGCTTCGCGGCTGAGACACGAATAGACTATAAACTTAAAGCTTTTACTCTTAATAAACACACTTTAATTAAAAAAAAGAATATTTATTAAACAAACCAGATCAAGAGCAGAAACGAAATAAAGTGCATAACTGAAAAATAAAGCATCTTAGGCTCAAAACTAACACAAACAGTCGGCACAGCGCAATTGCGCATTAGGCTCCAAACAAAAAATAAAAAAGTTAGGTTATCACACTAAAACATTGAAATATGCAAATTCTGATTTGTTCATATAGCCTACTCAAAACAGACAGGGCAAGCTAACGCAGACAAGTGAGCTTACCACTTTTAGATGATATGTCATTTTTGTCGTCGAGGTGTGGTTGCTTGCACACTTTGCATTCGACCTTTTTTCCAGTTATCAATTTTAACAAAATGCTGCCACACTGTCGATTTCTTTGTTGTTGACATGTTAGAAGAGGACTGACTATTAAACGCTCTCACAATTAAATAAATAATATTCAGCATCAAACCTTATAGCCTACTTATCGTTCTCTCGTGGGTTGGGCTAATCCAAAAAAGGTGAAAACAAGGGGGTGTTCTGAAGACAGACTGTTACCTGTGAAACAAGGGTACTCTGAAAACACCCCCATTAGCAGTTAGTGCTTTCCACCTGATGAAATGAGCGCGCCTCAGCGCGGCAAAACCATTTTTTACAGTCTATGGGCAAAACTGATGAAATGAACGCGGGGAAAAAATCGACCAATCAGAATTTTGGTCGAACCAGAACGTATCGACCAATTAATCGACTAGGACAATACAGCCCTAGTACAGTTGTAAATAAATAAGTAGAAAAACTCACCTACAGCACACCTCTCCAGGGTCGACCCAAAGCGTGAGTTCCTTGGGCAGGCCAAGGTCTTTATACTGCACTCCACTCTCAGCACATGCTCTGAGCAATTCAGCATCCTCTTTATGGAAGCGGTTCACTCTGATGCACCTGCACAGGATACATTTATAGCTCATTTTAACATGTGAAGCATCACATACATCCTGAACTTCTGACTAGATGTGAATCTAAAGAACATGGGAACTAGGATGTCACTGCACAGTAGAGTTCTGCACGGGCTTTAAACTGAAGCCCGAACCCGGCCCGTACCCGCGATCATTTAACCCGATCCGACAATTACATTTACATATTAAGCCCGAACCCGACGTCCATTCTGTTTCTCACAGCAAATACCATTTTTTCACGTCTGCTGTCTGTCTGTATTGTGACTGAAATAGCGCGCGAGAGCGGTAGCACATGCGCAAAACAGTTTTGTCATATAAATGATATGATAAAATAAAACAAATAATTTATAAAAATTATATTTATATATATATATATATATATCATTATCATTATATTTGAGAGAGAGAGCCTGTGTGTATGCACATATTGCACATCTGCGCACGTATGTAGCCTACTTTCTCTCTCTCGCGTGCCGGTCACCACAGCAAGCAGGCAAAGCACACGGCACGCAAACTATATATAGCCTATTTAGTTTTTCTTAGTTAAACCCGAACCCGACCCCGAGGCTGTTCATTAAACATTAACCCGAACCCGACCCGAACCCCGTCGGGCTCCGGTCGGGTAGCAGACCTCTACTGCACAGTACTGCTTATCAGACTGCTGTACCTGAATGCTTGGCCCTTGCTGGGGTTGTCTGGATACCAATGACCCTTGTACTTCTCCTGTAGTGCTACAGTTAACCGCTCCACAAACAGGTCCAACTTGTCTGCTTCCAACTTCTCAGCCTTCTTTATCAACCGCTTCAAGAAAAACACCACCGCAGCTATTTCTTTCTTCATCGTTAGCTGTTCAGCTGAAATTCAGGTCCAACTTCTGTGAATGTAAATACAGAGACTTAATTAAATATTAAATAAATACCACAACACCACCCTGTGATAAGGCATTTTATTTATTAAATAATAAAACAATTAAATAATAAACACAAACCATTTTAGTATTATTATTATTACTACTAATAATAATAAATAACATAAAATAATTGTAAAAAATGAATTAATAAATAAGAGATGAAAGATTTTTTTTCCCCAATAGCAGACTTCCTATTACTGTTAGGTCAGGTTTCTTTCTAAACCACCAACATCAATCTACGCATGTAACGTTACCTAAAACATAAGCTCCTAAGATGTTGGCTGTCTATGAACATTTAACCCTAGAGAGAGAGAGCGAGCAAGTGATTAACACAAAGCTGGGCGGTAAGACGGCGGGACAGAACAGCAGGATGGCGCGCTAATACATCACGACCGTTTGAAAAACAAAACCATGACAGAAATGACCATTCGTTTATGGAACTTAATAGCATCACCTCAATCTTATTTTTTAGACTGCATTACATTTTCATAGTTATTGTATAATATATACTTTTAAATTCCCGAGTATTATATCCAAATATAATAATATCCAAATATTATCTAGACTCTAGAAAAAACAAACGTCATATTTAAAAAACCTATAAATTCCTTAATCAGTCTCGAATATATATTTAAAAAATAACATATTTTAGAATACTAAAACTTGTTGTTTTACCGGTAGTTTCCCAACTAGACGACGTGAGCAACACGAGCTAACGGCAGCGGTCTTATTTAAAATGTCATATTAAAACTATACTCCTTCCATTTTGAATAAATATTGAAATAATTATTACAAACTGAATCCAGCAAACGTTATCTGTAGCCTAGCCGAGGTTAACGTGGCCTCGGCTCGATTCCATTTTCAGTTGGCTTTTCTGACAGTTTTCTTTAAAAACATTAATTTCAAATTATTTTATGTAATATTTGGAGCATAAAAACATTTTACTTCCATGCGAGTTCGCTACATCACTACAAACAGATATACTGACCGTGTTTTCCTTTCATCCACATGTGGCCAACTCCTGCTGCCCGTCTGGCGCCCTCACAACACACTTCCAGATCTGCTCCGCGCGAATACGTGGTGTGACGTGACTTTGTCTTGTGCGCATGCTTACAGGAAATGATTCATGAGTCGATTCTTTTGATTCACGAAACGATTTATTCAATCATTGATTGGCAGAGTGTGGAGAAGAAGAGCTGAGCACTGAGCAGCACACATACTGTCTATGGTAAATGGATGCAGGGTGGAAGTTTCTTTTTTTTTCTTTTTTTTTACACCAATCGAACAAAGTAATCAAATGATAAGTAGGCCTATGCCATATTTCATATTTCTGGGGGAACGGAAATGATCAAGTAAAGTCTGGTGTCCTGTCACATATGACAATGAGAACTGTGGGCAGTTTTATAAATTGGACAATGGCGCCATCTAGCTTGCAAAGTGGTGCTTGATGAACTGATAAACTCGTGAACTTGTGACAGCCTGACAGGGTCTCTGTGTTGTGAAAATTTGACCTGTCCATTTAGAATGACTATTGCTACCTTTAATTTCAACATGAGTAGCACATGTTGTCAGAAGGGACATATCTATATCAGGGTATCCACTGCAGTCATAATGAAAGTGCTAAACTTGTGTTGCACATGTCAACAGGAAATACCTATCAGGATGTAGCTACTCTCACCTCACTTCATACACTTCATTATCACAAGGACAGAATAATATTGCAACCTGGATTGCAGGGAATTTACTAGAACTAAAAACACCACGCAGGACTTTGTGTAGGGTTATTGAATTAAGTCAAGTCACCTTTATTTATATAGCGCTTTTTACAATATTGTATCAAAGCAGCTTCACAGTGATATGAAAATAATACAACAAAGTTTGTTTCTAGAAGAAAATTGCATCATCGTCCACCTTAAGTAAGGCAGATCAATAATATTGTTGAATATTAAATTAAATGTCCCCAACTAAGCAAGCCAAAAGCCAAGGCAACAGTGGCAAGGCACCAAAACTCCACCAGGTGACAGAAGGGAGAAAAAAACCTTGGGAGAACCCAGACTCAGTCGGGGGCCAGTTCTCCTCTGGCCAACGAACGAAGTGTGTATGATTATGATTCAGGCAGCATTACAGGTCAGAAGTCAGATTGCATCAGAATATTTATCAGAATTAAAAGAAAATGGAAATGGGAACGGTGGTTCTGGAGCTTCATAGGTTTTCAGACATGGTTAAATTTAGTGATTTTACTGAGAACTTGCTAAAACTGGCTAAAAACTTGCTCCACCCCAGATAAAATCAGATTGACCAATATTGCTTGAGAATTGAATAAATAAATAAATAAATAAATGACACAAATCATGGTTTTAAACTGTATTTGCACAAGCTATGGCTCACTGGAATAACAAATCAGTATTGTGGAGGTGACTGTTAGCTGGATGATGATCACTCAGAACTGAATACACCACCTCAGTCTTCAGTTCAGAGTGCAGGATGAGCTCAGATGGGACACTGACCTCTACAGGCTGTTGACAGGATCTCCATGGACAACCTTTAGAAGAGATTATTGATGCAAAAAAATCTGATCAATGATGTTCATATTGATGAAAACACGAGGAAGGCGTTTTGTTAAAGATAAGATTATATTTTAAACTCAATGACATACTCACACATTACTGCGATGATCAGGAGGACAAGAGTCAGCAGTGCAGAGATGAACAAAACTATCCAAATATGACAGTCTATAAAATATGATTATTGAAGTCATTATGTATTCTTCTGATGTTTCTATACAGAATAAAAAGATGTATGTAATGTGTAATACCTCTAAACCTCCCTCTGTTCTCATAACAGTCAGCAGGAGGCAGGTGGAGAATCATTGGTTGGCTCAGGGATGAGTGATTTACCCAACACGAGTAGTTTGTACAGTCAGATACCTTCAAATATGAATGGAGGGTGAATGATTCATCTGGGTTGGTTTTGTTAATGTTGTATGTGAGAGAGACGTTCTGAAATCCTCCATTTCTCATCCACACCTGCTCTACAGCAGAAGGGTAAAACCCCTCAGAGAGGCAAAGAATCGTGTGACATCCATCCGAGGTTCTTACATGTGACACAGACACATTGGGGTGTGCTATAGTAAATATAAGAGTTATTAGTAAAAAGCTCATGTATTAGGAGCAGATATTTGTCCCAGTTATATGATATACACTCAAGTCACTATGATTTCTGATTCTACTCATAATAAACTTACCAATCACTTGAACAAATGTTCTTTCTTCACCCAAAAGCTCAGAAGGAGGTGGTATGGTTCTTGTCACAACACATATGTAAGTGCCAGTATCATTTATCTGCAGATTTGATACCTCAAATGACATTTCCTCAGTCTTTGGAATAAATCTAATGTGTTCTTTACATGAGTGATGTATCAATGAATTGTTACTCTTCATTAATGAACACAGTTTATTATTAGTTTTCAGTTCCACTGTGAAACATTTAGTGTCACTTGATGGTTTGTATTTACAACTGATATTGACTGACTTTCCTCGATGAACAGTCTGAACTGAGGTGCCATTGAATTCTGAATCTCCACCTATAACAACTGAAAAAGACAATAATAACAATGTTTTAGTTATCACTAATCAGTTCACTAGATTTCATTTAAAATAATATTAATTAAATACAAATAATTAATTATAAATAAATATTTATATTAAATATAAATATTGTATAATATTTAAAAGAAAATGTTCAAATTAAAATACCAACCAGACAGAAGCATCCATACACATGTGGTCACAGAGTTACACTTTGATGACATCTAGAGAAAACAGAAAGTGGAATATTGATATCCCAGTTTTGAACAGAAATAAACTTTATAGCAGGGTAAACTTCTACTGGCTGTAGAATGAAAGATCATAGCAAATATTATTTTTGTTTTTCCATTTGCCCCAACTGCAAAAAAAAAAGAAAAAGAAAAAAAGAAAATAATTCGATTGCGTTTGCACGACTCTTCGACAGAATCACTGTAAAAAAAAAAAAAAAAATCCCCCTAATTCAACTTAATAACTTAAGTTCAGTTGCTGCCTTAAGTATTTAAGTATAATCAAATTTGAATTTTAATCAACTTTAAAAAAAATCTTGTCTAGTTACCACTTAAAAACAAAATTGAAGTTGGTTCAAATATTTTGATGAGTTGAAAAGTAATGGAAAAACATGTTATCATGAATTTTTAAGAACAAAAGAACAATAACTTTTCAAGAACAATACAGACTATAAAGATCAGTTACTCTTTACTCTTTCACAATTTAGTGTCTGTGTAATACTACACAAATTGTAGAGTTGTCAATATACAAAATATATACAAATAGATTTACAGTGTTAATTATTTCAGAAATGCATCTAATTTGTAAACATGAGTTAATGCATTAGCTAATAATAAATGAGCAATATATATTTTTACAGCATTTGTTAACCTTTGTTAATGTTATAAAATGTTTTATTAAAAAATATATTTTAAAAAAATTTGTTCACAGTGCATTAACTAACAGATACAACTTTTGGTACAAAAAGAAATTAAGTTTTGTTTTCAATTGTTAGTTCATGTTAACAATGAAACCAAAGTGTTATTAAAATATTTGGACAGAACACCACGATTGACCAATCAGACTTATGCCAGAGAGCCACACAATAAGCAGTTTGTAAATTATACATTTGCAAGACTACATATTTGATGTGAATTTGCTGTATAGCTCGCAAAATGGCACATATAGAGTACTTTAGAGCAAAACAAGTATTGTTTCAGTTAATTCAACAGTTTAAACAAAAGTCGATAAAAGTTAACAAATTCACCAGCAACACAAAATTCCTCTTATTATAATGTTTTTCCATTGATACGGTCAGTTTATACTGATCTTGTATGTATTACAAAAATTCCCATGTTCTCACCTTGTCATTTTTCAGAGATTGCATCCTCTTTTGTATTTTTTATTTTTTTTTGCAGATATCTGTTAACAATGGTGCAAATGAAGAAGTTGGTCTGCGGTGGTGCCGTAAAGTCAGAAACAAGCTCAATCAATCTGACTGAGGCAGTCTGACATACAGTAGGCCTACTCAGTTGTGTGTGTGTGGAAGAGAAACAAATTAAAGAAAAAAAAAAAAAAATGTATCTAACACTCCTAGATTCTGTCATCAAGCGAGAAGCCAATCACAACTGTTTTCTTCTTTTAGGCCTTCATTGATTGGATGGCACCCATATAAAAGTGTTGCAAGGGTCTGAAACCAACTCGGGGTTTAGTTTTATAAAGAAGAAACATTATGACCTGCAGTTGCAGTGACAATGTCTTAAAAGTGTTCAAATAGTGAAACCGAATGTCCTGTGGACTTTATTTGCTCGTATTTGTCTCCAACAAGACTCTTTTTAGAGCATCATCTTCATGATCTGACTGAGCTGAACTTAGAAAATGATTTAGGGGTCTGGTTTTTTTAACCACACAATGTCTACATGGAAAGTGGATGTAGGGTCATATAGGCAAAAGTAGTACACGTGACAAATAAAGAATGAACAATTTATTAATGAATTATTTAAATAGGTTACATCAACACAGAAAGAAAACTGCACTCAGCAAACCATTTCATTGGGTTCTTAAAGTGCTGAAGCTGCAAATAACCTCATGGCCTCAAGGTCAAAATGGGGTGTTTACAGTCAAAATGTTAAGCAAAGTAAAAAATCATAGAAATATAAATCACATGCACAAGTTGGTGTCTGGTCAGTGAATGATATAGACATGGATCAGGCTATCAATCATTGTAAAATGTCTTCATTCAGTGTTTATTGTGGAGATGAGCGGACTCCCGACAGGGCTGCATGGAACTGGATGATGGTCCCCCAGTGTTGAATACAATGTCTCAGAATGCAGGTGAGTGTAGAGGACAGGCGTAGGTGTGACACTCATTCCTACAGGTGGCACAGACTGCGAACGTGCTCTTCCTGGAAGAAAATGAGAATAATGACTTGATCTGTTCTGATTGCTATTATGGGACCATAAGAAAAAACAATGCATAAGAGGAGTCATCACTTCCCACCCCTAGACAATTTGCACTGTTATTTTGTTAATATGTTTATATTCCGTATAAAATTTTCATTTTCTTCAAATTAATTTATAAATACAAGCACAACATGTAAAACAAGACTAACTCTGATATTCATGCTGTGATTTAAGGGTCCTAAGAGGCGCATGCGTATTTCACTTATATAATACATGTGCGTGAGTGAACAGAGCATCTGAAAAGCTGTTCATGTTTTGGTTATTTCAGTTTGAGTCAAAGTAAAGAACCTTGGTTTCATCACGTTCCGACAGTTGCTGTCATTACTCGGGTATTTTACTGTAAAAAAAAAAATTACTCCACACTACATTATATTTCAACACAAATTCAATTAATTTGGGGGTGCTAATTCCAAAAACAGTGCCTATTTTGCACTAGCATGTCATATCATTTCACTATTTTGCCTTCCCATTTACAGTTTGTGCGTCTCACTGGCCTATCTGTTTGCAGTGACGTTGCCAATTGGCTCTATCATTTAGAAGGCGGGACTTATTCCAACTTATTGCCTTTGCAATATCTACCATTCATAAGCAATATGAGTTCACCACAATGGGTGTCATTTAAAGCTGCAGTAGGGAGTTTTGAGAAACCGTTGACTTAGCCTGAAAATTTGAACAAGTACAACTTACAGGTCCCACCCCCTTGCTCTCTGCTGCGCTACAGCCCTCCCTCCACAGCTCGTCCTCCACAGCGGAGCCCGTCGTGAACGCGCAGGCTAAACAGGGCCACCGATAACAGCGGATAAAAAGTTATATGCACATTCACTAATAGGGACTAAACGTCAATAATATGCTTTACATTGACTATGGCCTGCCCATACTATGACTACAAACCTGGTCCTCAAATCATTATGTATTTTCCAATAGCCTACATGTAACTTTATAACGTTGCACTCTTTCTATAAGTTATAAATAGCTAGTAAGATAACGTTAATATAACGGTAACTAACGTTACAGTATGTAAGTAATTATTCTAGCGATATATAATGCTAGATAAGGTGTGCTAGTACATTATTTCAGCAACATGACAAGCCAGTGAATTAGCAGGTTTCAATTGTTGCTTAGCAGAGTGCGTGACATTTTATGTTATGCGGCTAGAGTTTTGACACCAAGTCAATGGGCTCTGTGTAATTCTTTCTTTTTCGCTTGTTTATCATCATCAGTCTTTTTCTTTTTACCTCTTTGTTTTATGAGCAGGTGTCACTCGAGAATTGGCAGTTTAGGTTGTTTCTCCGTCATAAGTACAGCTGCAGCACGTCGGCAATCTTGAGTTTGAACGACGGCTCGCGCTTCGGCGCTCGCGCTGTGCAAGAGAGGGGTGTGATCAGCGCGTACAGAAGCGTGACTGACACTGCTAAGACATTCCTCCCGGCTCTGATTGGTTGTTTCTGACCGGGAGCGTGTATTTCTTGCAAATGGCAATAGGACCACTGGGAGGAGCCAGAGGAGCTTGATTTTTACACAGATTATCTGTCTCATATTCTACTGTCAGGACATAATGACAGTATAGCAAATACATTTTTTCAAAAGTTACCTACAGCAGCTTTAAGGCTGTCATTAAAGAATCTTACTTAATATGACCAATTCTTAACAACAGCTTTTAAATTTGCTGACATATTAGGAATACTCTTTTTTTCATTGCATGGAAAACGAACACTTTACTTGAAAATGTGAGAACGTAAAAGCATCATACTCAACAGAACAGATAGTTATGTGTGTTATTTAAATAATTGGGAAGATCTTAACTAGCAGAGAACAAGCATATTAGTTTGAATTAGAGATCAAACTACACCGATTTTTTGTAAGAATTTTTTTTACATAGGCAAATATAAACAGTATAGGCCTATACTGCCCTACAAAGGCTAAGAGCAGTATCTTCAATTTTTCACAAAATGTTTTTTTGCACAAATAAAAAGTGCAGGATCTGCTCTACAATCTGTTAAAATTTCATATGGCTACCTAATAAGTTTCTTATATAAATTTACATTTTTAGTTGCAGTATTGTATAGAAAAGTAGAGTAAAACCAAGGCAGAATGCAGTATCTGCCCGTACTGCAGTCTGTTTTACTATGATACTGCAGTTTGCCTTTGTGGGGCATGAGTCAGGTTTTATAGCATACTGTATATGTATATAGCTCATATTTCATTTATTGATATATTGATTCCCTGAATGATTAAACTTAAACTGTTTGTAATTACATGTGAAGACCTATCCCAAACTGAAATAAAACCAATACGTTAATGATTGCCATAAAAAAACAGCACTTTTGTGATACAATTAAAATATATTAATCTAATAACGCGTGTTTTTTGTTTGTTTGTTTTTTGAAAAATATGATTATAATGCCAAAGGGGATGGAAAGTCACAGCTTAGCAGAAAGAATGAAGATGGAGAAAACGGTCAATAAAAAAAAAACAAGAAAACGGGGGTTTACATAATATGCCACATAATTTTAATAGTTTGGTTATAATTAACATATACTGTACTTTTGATGACTATAAGCAGCTGCTGCAGCTGTGTGCAAAGGTTTTGGTGATTTATGATTTATGATATAAACAAGTGATTATGATCACTTGCTACACTTACTGCTATATGTTATTGTATGGCCATGTAAGTATACGCAGTAATGCAAAGGCAAAGCGCAGTATAGCCTATAAAACTACCAAATTTTGCCTGACTGTCAAAAAACGAAACGTTTAATATTCACCTCCCTTTGATCTATCTAATTGTACCCTTTGTTGTTAAATTTAATTCGATGCTTATATTTGGTGTAAGAAAAACACAAAAAGCTGTTTTTCTCAGTTTGGAGTTTTTGCTGATACTGCTCTTAGCCTTTGTAGGGCAGTATAGGCCTACTAAGGTGCATTGTGTAATATTTATGAGGATCTGTTGACAAATGCAATATCATATACATAACTACGTTTTCAGTGGTGTATAAAGACCTTGCTAAATGAACGTTATGTTTTATCACCTTAGAATGAGCAATTTCTATCTACATAAACCGTGGGCCCTGTTACATTGAAATGCCACGACATGTTTCTACAGGAGCCCTAAAGGGACAAACGCGTTTCGTCACTATATTGTTCTTCGTGCAAAGAAGCAAGCTAAAATCAGCGAAATGCAAATAAAACTCTGACACAATGATGAACAAGTAACAATAATATTTCGCAATAGCATCGTTTTACTGAATAATTAGGTAAACCTAATTTCTTAAAATATTTGTAAAGAAACCTCATTGATTAAATGGCTACTCTATGCTGTCTCACTCAGACTACGACATCTTTTCCTGTCGGTCACCGTAACTTCTGTTGGTTGCAATTCGCAACCTCACCACTAGATCCTGCTAAAAATCACACACAGTGCATCTTTTTTACAGTCTATGCTTTAACCATGTTCACTAAACTTTGAGCGTGCAAAATTTATTACGTCACTCACTGAAGCGTCTTTTTATAAACATGAATTCAACATAAACGGTAAAACACTCAAAATGTAGAAAATATACAATCTACTCGACTTTACTGCAAGCCAAGAGGTCACACTGACATATCGATCTTCTATTGGTCATGTGTTCGCAGTTCAAATGCAAGAAAAACTTCGCATTAGCTTGCGTGTGTTTGAACGGAAGTCGAAAGAAAAGTGCAGTTTGACTGACGTTATACCCATTACAAATACCAGTTGACCAGGAAATTAAAAAAACGAACAGTTCATACAGCTTATGAAATCATTACGAAATCAAAGGGGAAATCGCTTGGAAGGGCAACTGGAAGCGTGATGAGAGGAAAGACGGATACATTTGCAAACCGAGGAAGAGTTTTGCCTGTGCCACACTCAAAAAAATGATATGTTGGCTTTACTTAACTTTTTTATGTAAACAGGTTCCACATAACTATGTTTCGTTAAACAAACATAATATGTTCATGTAACTTCAACATCATGGAATTTGGTCATTTTAAGCGACCCAATAGACCAATTTTCAGTTGGTAAACATGGTGACGTTTTTATGTGGGCGGAGCTTAGGTGGTGGCAGAACGATCCCTCTGGCCGCTTCACTAACGTAAAGTCTGCAAGTTTTGTTAGCTTGTTTTTAACAATGACTGGAGAAAATCCGATTTTATCTTAATGTGCAAGGCCACTCACTGTCCAGGACCGCGATTGTTATTTGCAAAAGTTAATTTTAACGGACAGAACCAGATTGGCCGACCCGTACTGTAGCCTACACGCTGGACGATCTGACAGGATTAACACGCTACCTCCGGTTGAGTGTCCTGACTTCTACACCTACCTGATAGAGAAACGGAGGGCATATAAATCTTTAGATGCCTATAACTATGTGCTGAATGGTCATGTACAAGTTGTGCGGTACGATCCGCAGTTCTGCCTAGCCAGCACCATGAAGACGACAATGTAAAGAGTGACATTACGGTGCAATTTTAATGAGGTGAATATTTTCTAGAAATAAAAAGTTGCAGATAAAGCATATTAATTTTTCATTGATTCTTGCACCCAACAACACAACAAGATGACATTTAATAATACGAAGAATAATTTAAGATCCTTATTTTGTAGCCGAATCTGTGCTGGTTTGTATTTGCCGCCTCCAGTTTTCCCTTTGTTCTGCCACCAGCTAGCGCCGTGACGCAACTGTGACGTCGGCTGGAAATTGGTCTATTAAACTCTGAGCTAAAGAGTTAATTAAGTGAATAACTGAGTGATGATTGAGCATTATTGAAGACACCTGATGTTAACAAGCAGAATCTCTGAAGGAGAAACCCGGAATGTTTAAGTCACCATTATGGAGATAAGTGTGTGTTTTAGTTAGGCTCTTGACCATTAACTTATTAACTTTATATTTTGTTTGGTTGCTGTACGTGAGTTATAACAGCCAGATAAACAATGAACTAAGGATGTCTGATGGTGTTGGTTGTGATTTAACATAATCATTATTTCACAATCATTTGACCTCAATCACTGAACTTATAATTGAACCCACTTTCTTAGAAACTTAACTCAGAAAATCTGTTGAAGTTACATGAACATATTATGTTTGTTTAACAAAACATAGTTATGTGGAACCGGTGGAACCTGTTTACATAAAAAAGTTAAGTAAAGCCAACATATCATTTTTTTGAGTGCAGGACGAAATTGCAGCTAGGAGGACGTCGAGGACGATGGCTCAATCTCCTTTGTTTATACGGAAGGGGAACCGATGATCCTGGTGTTGGCTTGACAATTCTGCGGAACAATCTACATTTGAGGTAAAGTGCTGCTGCAGCTCATCGGGTTGGTTGGGACATGGTTCAAAGGGCAGGGCGGGGTCATCTGCCGGAAGAATTTGTCAATGAGATGACATGGGGGGTGCTGGATGGCAGAGCCAGGCTAAATACACATTAATTGCGTATTAACGTAAATTGATATTAACTTAACCCTAAAACAGGAAATGTGACTCACGAGTCACATCGTTTATATTGTCTTTTTTGGGGCATAAGAACGATTTTTTCGTCAAATCCTTTTATCACTTATGACAGCCTGGTCTGTCTTGAGTATGCTGGTCACATGATTTGCTTCAAATTTTTTGTGATCAATTAGTCAGCCTGACCTAAATCCAACATGGCTGCCAGTGGTGCAGAACCATGTGCAGAACATTCAGATTTTGAGATAAGTAAATATATATTAAACTTACTTTTCTTCTGAAAAAAAAAGAAAGAATACTGCTAACATTAATTGTGAACATTGTCTTAAGGTGCTGAAGGAGAAAATTAAGTAATATGTTGTTCATGTTGTTATTTAGCACGTTTTGAAATGTATGTGACTCCTGAGTCACGTTGCCTGTTTAGGGTATAAAAAATGGATTTATTTATAAGGGCTTTATTTATAAATACATACATTTGCACTATTCAAACTTAAATGATGGAATATAGACCTAAGTTTGATCTTGTTTTAAAAAAAAACAGTCAGCAGATTATTGCTGAAGTGAAAGTACTTAAAAAAATGAAAGTATGAAAAAGTTATGGAAGTTTAAACTTACAGTAAATCAAATATACTGTACTTAATATTTTTTCTTTTTTATAAAATATGTATTTTACAAAATATTTTTACTATAAAATTACTATAAAATCAAAGCCATATATCTAACCAAGTTGTGTTCCAAATTTGAAGTTGATATCACAAAAATTGAAGTTCACATGAGATGTTGTTTAGGCATAATACCAAAAATAGCCACCGGGTGACTTACATTCCATTGAATTTAATTGTATGCATTCTGCCATGACAAATTAATAAATTTCACAAAATATGGAACCTTGAGACTCGGACCTTTCTGACAATATGTGTTTTGTCAAGATTAGAAAAGGTTTTGATCATAAATTATGAAACATGACGATGCCCAAAAGGGGAGGAGCCCGATAAAAGAATTTAGAGTACCGTTTCTATGGTAACGCAACGTCCAATTTCAAAACGGGTTTCACAGGCTAAATCTTGAGTTCGTAAGCTTTCGAATGATATATCATTTGTCATTAGATCAGGTGAAGTATGGGATATAATTGTTTTAAAAATGCAGTGGCAGTAACAGTTAACAGATTAATGACTTGGTCCTTTTTTATACCCTAATCAGGCAACGTGACTAAGGAGTCACAACTCATAAAATCCAAAATATATCAAATTAAAAAAAAAATTATTTTGGATATGTTTTATTTAAGTCCAGATGATATAAAAAATGACATGAAATTATTTTTTGCTTAGCATTTTCCACTCTTGCCTGTTTAAGGGTTAAATAAATACATAATATTCAAGAAAAATAAACATGAATGACTTATTCATGTTTCTTTTTTATTTATTTTTATCGATTGCAAAAAATAAACTAGATTAATCACACATTATTCAGTGCTAAAAATTCCATTCCAAGAGAATAACTCAGATTTTAAATTTATAAGAACAGACTATATTTTGGAGATCAAATATTAAACTTACTTAAACGCTCACACACGACTGTGATAATCAGTATGGCAAGAATCAGCAGCACACAAGTCACCAGAGTCATCCACATTTTTATTCCTATGAAAGAGGGATATTGAGCAGAATTACATAACAATGATTGCATAAATATTCTAATAATTTGTGCAAATTTTGCATAAGACACACTATGGTATTTATTGCTACGTGCTGTAAATATATATTGTTTAATACCTGTGTTCTCATAACAGTCAGGAGGAGGCAGGTGGAGAATCATTGGTTGGCTCAGGGATGAGTGATTTACCCAACACGAGTAGTTTGTACAGTCAGATACATTCAAATATGAATGGAGGGTGAATGATTCATCTGGGTTGGTTTTGTTAATGTTGTATGTGAGAGAGACGTTCTGAAATCCTCCATTTCTCATCCACACCTGCTCTACAGCAGAAGGGTAAAACCCCTCAGAGAGGCAAAGAATCGTGTGACATCCATCCGAGGTTCTTACATGTGACACAGACACATTGGGGTGTGCTATAGTAAATATAAGAGTTATTAGTAAAAAGCTCATGTATTAGGAGCAGATATTTGTCCCAGTTATATGATATACACTCAAGTCACTATGATTTCTGATTCTACTCATAATAAACTTACCAATCACTTGAACAAATGTTCTTTCTTCACCCAAAAGCTCAGAAGGAGGTGGTATGGTTCTTGTCACAACACATATGTAAGTGCCAGTATCATTTATCTGCAGATTTGATACCTCAAATGACATTTCCTCAGTCTTTGGAATAAATCTAATGTGTTCTTTACATGAGTGATGTATCAATGAATTGTTACTCTTCATTAATGAACACAGTTTATTATTAGTTTTCAGTTCCACTGTGAAACATTTAGTGTCACTTGATGGTTTGTATTTACAACTGATATTGACTGACTTTCCTCGATGAACAGTCTGAACTGAGATGCCATTGAATTCTGAATGTCCACCTATTACTGAAAAAGATGAAAATTCAGTTTTACATTTGAAGTTATATTAAAAAGTAGGGATTCAATTCAGTGAATTTTCACATTTTGAACAGTATTGTATAATCACCAGAAAATATGGACAGCAGCATCAGAGCACATGTGGTCACAGAGTTACACTTTGATGATATCTATTAAGAACAAACAGAGAAATACAGCGATACATATTAATACTACAAATATATTTTTTGGTTTCGTTTGTTCTGAAATAATGACTGGCTGACTGCTTAGGTGTTTTAGTTAAATAAATAAACATGAAATATTAATTTGAACTGAAATTAGGCTACTTTGTTAAATGAGAGGGTACAAAATACATGAAACTAGCACAAATAGGAGACCACTTGCCAAGCCCAACTTTAGTTAATATAAAGCATTATTTCCCCAAATATATTTGACAATAGAATTCAACAATTGACCAATCAGATTCAAGCATTCATAAGAAGCTATCTTTCCACAAAGTGTTACATTTTCAAGACTACAAAATATCACATGAATTACTGTTTAGTTATGCTTCACATTGACTGAAACATATATCATATTTGAATGAAAAACGTCAGAAAGTAAATGCTGATTTATAAAGTAAAATAAAAAATATGTTTGTATATATATATATATATATATATATATATATATATTATTGTAATATAAAACTCCCATATTCTCACCATTTCATATTTCAGAAACTGCATCCGCTTTTGCATTTTGCATGGGACTCGCTGACTGTTCTAACTCATGATGGTGCAAATGGAGAAGTGATATTGGTCTGAGGTGGCGACGTTATTTATGTCAACTCAGAAACAAGCCCATCCAATCCGACTGAGGCTGTCTGAGAGTACTTAATTTGTAGACTGAAAGAAAAATAAACTAACGCTTAATAAAAATAAAAATAAACTCTATAATTTAGGTCCTGACAATCAAGAGCACTATGAGATTCTCAAGCAGTTATTCTATGACATATAACCTACAAAGTTAATCTGTATTCATCCAGGGAGCAGCCAATCACAAAGCTCCCTTTTCTTTTATGGCTTCACTGATTGGACGGGACCAATATAAGAGGCATTGCTCATTGTCCAAGCTACAATGGAGAAGTAACATCATGACCTGCAGCTGTCTGACAATGTCTAAAAGTGCAAGGATGTTTAAATGTTAAACCAAATGTCTTGCAGACCTCATTTGCTCATAACTGTCTGCACCAAGACCTCTTTTGTAGAGCATCTTCACGCTCTGTAGAAGCGGTGAGGTCTAGTTATTTTAACCACAGCGGGGTTGTAAACACGTGAAAGGCAGAGAAGCTGTCATTTAGGTCACGTGTGAAAATGTAGATATGAAATAAAAAGAAGTCAGTACATGGATGATGTGCTCAGACCTAATTACTGCCTGCAGTTGCACATAGGTTTTGGTTGAAGATGAATAGGAAGCTCTTTGAAAAAGTGTTCCTTGTATTTATTTATACACTAAGTGATATTTTAAGTGTTTAGTTTTGCATGTTGAAGCTTGCCATCTTTTTATTCTTGCCATTGTAAAGAAATGTTTTTGCCCTGTTAAGGAGAGAAAATAATTTTGATTAAAGATTATGAAGGCACATGATTTAGGAAAAAAGAATGATGTGCAAAGATAAATGGTGAAGTAAAACATCAAAGATGCTTTGCCACAAGCTGTAGGAACTACACTATGGTGATGCCACAGTTCCTTCCATTACAGCGTTCGCTCCTGTGCCTGTTCCTACTGCGTCCATCTACCCTGAGGCGCAAGTCAGATCGCTTTCACCTGGCGCTCCTCCTCGGTTGCCTCGCGGACTCTTTGCACCACACCTCGAGGCCTCTTCTGGCTCTGGCATCAGCCCTGCTCCACCTCTTCTCACTATAGTGTCCAAGGCCCAGCTACCTTGAGCTCAACAACTATGATGATTTTCGTGCTCCTGGATAGCAGGACCATATCTGGTCTGACTGCCCTTGCCTTGGTGGCTTTAAAGGTGCCCTAGAATGGTTTTTTATATTATTTTATAATGTTTCCTGGGTTGCCCTTATAATGTTAGTATGTTTTTTAGATCAAAAATAGTCATAATTTAGAAATAAAAGGCATTTTTCCTAGCCTGATTTTAGCCTCTGATTTGAACGCTCTGTTTGAAGGGGCGTGTCTGCTGTGTGTAACCGGCCTCTGCTGTGATTGGCTGACATGCTTGCATATGAAATAGCTATGTATTACATGTGAAACTCTCTCGAATAATTTTACTACAGCTATTATACGTTTTTACTATTACAGCTATCGAGATTAACGAATCGTGAGATGTTTTTAAAGTATTTAGATCTATTCCCATCACATACAATGTTTCCGTGATGACTGAGCATTGAGCAAGCAGATCACAGTCTGTTGATCGCGAGCATGAAGATCTTATCATTGCAATGCAGTTTCTGCACTCTCTCTAATGCTTTCACCAATGCAAACACGATCATGTAAATACAGTAAGAGCTTCGTTGTGCAGTGTAACGTGCGTCATTGAAGTCATAACGAGTTTGGCAAGTGTCCAGATAAACTCGCGCTGTGGAAAGATTGTTCTTTGATTGCTTTCTTTATATAATTTATTCACAATTTAAATAAGTTTTTTTTCATCCTACTAAAAGAAACGATGTGAAGTTGATATTTTAGTCACTGGCTTGACTTACTGATGCAAACAGTATTGAACGATTTTGAGAGAAAGATTACCTGTCTGAACTTGAACAATTACACATCAGAAAGTGTTGCTTGATAGCTCGATCCGAGGCCAGCTCTGTATTGGCCCAAGTTAAGGAAACAGTCGTCAGTGAAATGTTTGGAAATTTCCAAAGAAAATAAAATTAACCCATTGTTTCTTCAGAGGCTAGGAAATTCATCCAGAGGATGAAGGAAATAAAAAATACTTTTGTGTTCATGTGTACATCCAAACACTGAGCAACTGCTATGCTTCGGCTGCGCAGTTCCGCCTGGCATTGAACATGGCATATGCAAATTCTTGGAGTCATACATATTAATGATCCCGACTGTTGCGTCACAGTCGGTGTTATGTGGAGATTCGCCTATTTTTCAGGGGTGTTTTTCAAAAACGAGATTTAAGTAAATAGGAGAAAACAATGGTGTTTGAGACTCACTGTATGTCATGTCCATGTACTGAACTCTTGTTATTTAACTATCCCAAGATAAATTCAATTTCACATTCTAGGGCACCTTTAAACTCCTCGACCACCGATGAGACTGGCAAGGGAAGCTTGGAGGTTTTGCTGTACAGGTTAATTGCGCTGAATGATGGGGGACTCCCAGCCATTTCCGCAAGAAATTGCTGCACTGTCTTTCCATTCCTTCCACTTGGGACATGGGAAAGTCGTAAAGTAGGAAGGTCCATTGCAGCCGGGTATGATGCCTTACTGAAAGCACCCGACTTTAAACCTCCCCAGCAGTTGGCTGTGCTCAATTGCCTTAAAGGGTTAGTTCGCCCATTTAAGACATGAAGTTGTATGCAATCCTTACCAGCACTATAGTGCATACACACTGACCCACTCTGTAGTCACCTCCCTGGTCAGAGTTCTGGCCGCTGGAAGTTTTTCAAGAAAGTACTCCCGGTTAGTTACCGGGGCCTCAAAACTGTGCGTTTTTACGTGAAAAAATTATTTGCATTTCAAAGCTTGATTAATTTACCACACAAAAAAACACGCCAGACAAAATTCATACCTCAGTTTTAATCGGCACTATTTTCTTTCCATTTCTATCAATCCGCGCTGCTGTCAACGTCAACAGTGCGCACGTTCCGATCAGCTGTTCCATAGTGTTTACACAATCGATTGACAACGACGTAAAATGTAGAAAATGAACAATGGTGCGAACTTGTAAATTCCAAGGCTGTGACCACAAGAATGTGCCGGGATCACCGTTCAGATTCCATCGTTTTCCTGTTTCGGATATACGAGACAGCTTTGGCTGGTTGCCACCGGCTACTCTGCGGGAGCTAAAATATCCAAAATCAAGGATTATCGTGTGTGCAGTCACAGTGCTCACTTCAGCGAAGACGATTACATCCCCAACCAAGGAGAAAAAAAACAACAACAGATTTTAAAGAGTTTTGCTGTACCAGTACCACGGGTAAGCTCTATTTACTAACTTTATGATCCCATGTCTAAACTGTAGCCTACGGTAAACAAGCTGATGTTAAGACTGCAGTGGAAAACACGTGAAAAGATGTCTAATATATATATATATATTTTTTAGGGATTTAGGTACAATTTGATGAGAAAACTATTTGATTGAACACACACAATCTCTGTCCTCTCGCTCTCTCTCTTCCCGTTCTATCTCCATCTGTTGAAGTTCGGCATCGGTATACTCTGGTTCATAAAGGTATCCCTTTGGCGTTGTGCTAAAATTACTTTCATCATCATCTGTTCCGTCTGACATTGTGCTAAAATTGGTTTCATCATCAGAAGTTTCGCAGTCAGACATGTTGTCAGCGAGTCGCGCTATCAATGTGACAGTTTATAGAAACACTTGCTGTAAGGTAATGGGCAAAAAGGGTTTTAGTCAATTAATAGGATGTGAGGATCTTAAAGTATCTAAGATTAAAAAGACAATGCATCCAGTAGCCTACTAGTAATAGGGATTGAAACAATGAATATAATTTCAATTCATATAATTGTGTTAAAAAGTTCAAATCTGACATGTGTACAAAGGGTAAAAATTAACAGAGGAATATGTAAACGTTAGATTGATTAATTAATTTTGTAGTGCCTAATTTATGGGTAAAAAGTGTTAATCTGTGATCGCCAAAGTGATCTTAATCTATGCGGCGTGATCGATTGCTTTTGTCTTCCACCCAAGTTTCCGGGGAAATCGCGGTCTTTTCCTCATAACACTAAAGTTTTCAGTGAGGAAACCTGACTCTATCACTCTCGTGATTATTTCTCCCCTTTTTCAGGGGTGTAACATTTTGGAGGCCCCGCTGGGATTGCTGTTCAGATGTCCGGTGGCCACATACTGGTTGCTGAATTCAGAGCCAGCTAAATCCCCCCATAACAACCCAGGCAGGGAGGAAAGTGTTGCTGTTCGAAGGGACCTGGATCCTGGTGGTGAAGTACATGTCAACTGAGGCCATTAAGAGATCATCAGAGACCGTAAAGACCATCGGGTTCAGTTTCAAGTCCTGCATGGTAAAAGTTCCTCCTGTCCTGTCACCATGACAACCACCTTGGAAGAGGTACAGGGAGAGTTAGTAGGGAAATTGCACATCCTGACCAAGGACAACTTACTAGAGATATGTGATTTTCTTGGCATATCAGGCGAACAGAGAAGAAATGTCCAAGACAAATCCCGCATATCATTGATGACTCTTATTATGATGTTCATTGAAAGAGAGGAATTGGCAGAGTTAGAAGATGACGGCATGTCAGAATTGTTGCTACTTCAAGACAAAATGGCGGAGATGAACAGTGGCATGGATAACAAAACAGAGCAAACGGAACATGATATGGAAACAACAGGAACACATCAAGGAGTGAAAACCGAGCAGATTACTGCAGTCAATGCAATGATCAGTGATTCTCTGCACCAGCCCCAAACCCCTGTCCATCGTCAGGTGAGCATGCAGCCCTCGCCCAGTCAATACTGGCGCAAAGAGTTTAAAATTTCTGGGCAGATAGGTGAACCGGGCCAGAAAGAGAAACTGATTTTTTCCAGCCTTGCCCATCAGATTGAGAATGGACTTAACAGAGGTTATCCTGAGGTAGAGATTGTAGATGCAGTAATCAGGGCTATTTCTTTAGGCTCACAGCTCCGCAGCTACTTGGAAGGTAAACCCCAGCTAACTCTTCCCACACTTCGATGCATCCTGCGTTCCCACTTTCAAGAGAAAAGC